GCGGCCCCCCCAGCCTGTGAAAAAGGGAAGGGGAAGGAAATGCAAGCAGCAGCTGGATTTGATGACAAAATACTGCAATTGGAACATTACTAGGCTATCGAGACAGGGCTGCAGTAGAATCGGGGAACTGAGAGAACAGGCTAGCTCGGAGGATACAGAACAGAACGATACGCATAAATACAAATGCAGGGGTTATTACGTGTCTTAAGTCAAAGGGAGGGTTACAGAACCTCTCCTGCCATGCCTTGGCAGTGCTGACAAGGAAGTTAACACCATTTAACACAGAGCAACACAGTTAATAGTTATGTAAAAATGGGAAGAGGCAAATGAGGAGAAGCAGGGTTTGCTAACAAGTCGCAATACGGACTGGAAGCAGATTTTTTTCAGGAGAGTCTTGGCTACATCCCAACTATTGCTGCAGTATCAGTCTTCCCCTCGCAGCAGCCGAGTTGCTGGCTGTAGTCAGATCTTTAATAAACTCTTACCTGCTGGGAGCAGTTCAGCCTGTGAGAAAGCGCCACGAGCTTTGCCTCTGAGGTACGGCAGACAGCACAGCCGTCCCCCTCCATGGCGACGCTGTTCACTACGACAAAGCTGGAAAAGAGCAGGGAGCGGGCAAAGGGAAGGGAAGTGGGGGGGACAGGAAAACAGCCACTATTCACGCACGTGTGAGGGGTAAACTTCGTTTTACAAAACGCGAGCTTTCCAACGTTGGACACAGCTCAGCAGAACGTGAACAGCTTCCGACATCGCGGGCTCCAAATCCTCTTGAGTACCCCTACTGTAGCTGCCTCTCTGCCTGGTAGGCTGCTTTATAATCAGTTATTAATTAGGTTGCACAATATACTGCATGCTATGCTTCATCCTTACACGTCAAGGTGGTGGGTTTGGTTTTTTTTTTTATATTATAATGGGTACTTAAAACCGGGATTCTAGGGGAATGGTAGAAGCCCCACTAAGCTGAATTCGGAGGGAAAGGAGAACTTGTTTCCCTCCCTACACAGGTTTTAGACCTCAGAGACATAATTTTAAACAATTTATTTTTTCAGAACAACTGAAAAGCAAAACTGCATTTGGCTGGCTACCCTGAAGGAGCTTAGTTTCATACTTTGTGGTCTCTCACACAAAAGCCAGGATTTTATTTATTTCAGAAAAAGATTTCCCTGTAGATTTCAAATCAACTTTGAACTTCTGCCACAAGATTCATACCTATTTAGTCACTCATTCAGGACTCAAGAGATACATTCCCAGTCCGTTTTACGGACATAAATGAGCCAAATGCCTCCACTTAAGAGATACTGGTCAAAATCAAAAGAAATTAATTCTCTTTTGTCAAACTAAGCTGCTTTTATACCATAGATATGTTATAAAACAGTTTATCCAGGAACATTTCATTAGTAATGCAGCTCATTTCAGTTCATGAATATGATACTAGGCGTACAACCTGCAACTGCACGTAAGAATTCTGCTGTGCTGTTTTATCAAAGGGGACATGGAGATATTCCTTAATAGCTGTTTTTTTAAAAAAGCTGAAATATATATCTAGAGGACCCCACATCTGCACGACGAACAACAGCATTACCCTGAGCGTTCATGAAGCCGATAGATCGTCCTAAAAAAAGACACACACCATTCCTAGAACTTTTCAGATTATTTTTCTTGTTTGCTTGATTAAGGGAACCAGTGTAAACGTGTAGGTTTTGAATTTTACATTTGCATGAGCGGTTATAGCCTGCCGGCATACGTGCCAAATGCAGAGTGGCAGTGGGGCTTCCCTTCGCGTATCGGAGGTTCAAATGCCTTTCCACAAACCCACAACTGCTTTCCTTCGCTGGGTTCCTGGGTGGTCTCTACAAGTAACAAAAGGGGACACGGCAGACAACTGCAGCCACAGACACACGACTGGGAGAACAAGCTCTGTAGCGAGGTCTGCCCTAAGCCAAAACCAGCTTGTGCCTTATTACCCCACCCTGTGGAAAAACCGTGAACAAGCAACTGCGGCGTTCCCAAATTCCTCAAACAGCAGTTAAGTCCCGCAGACTGAAGAAGTTATTAAAATTAATGAAACTCTTAACTTGTAAGCACGGAGGGGGTTTGTTTGTGTTTCTTTACTGAATCCTATTCTTCTATTACGTTTACAGCCATGGGTCATTACCAGCTGTAAGGAAGTAAAAAGGCAAACCAGAGAATTTGAATCTGACCCCATGGTACTTTTCCATTTAAAAGGAAACTGTTCCAATTCACCTAGCTCAAAGTACAGCTTCCACTCCACATCAGACTACAGGATTGTACAAAGTGTTTGATCTTTAACACATTACAAGCTAGATACAAAGTTTAAAAAAAAAAAAAAAAATAGGCTCGAAGTTAAGCATTCCCATACTATTTCATTAGAAATTCCACTTCCAATTCTCAGTTTTCATCACTCAGATCTGCTAGCTCAGTAATCACCACTCTAAACATTGAAAAAAAAAAAAATATATATATATATACTCACTTTATTCCTTTTCGAGTTATCAGCTTCCCTGAAGTAAAGTTGAAAACCTTTTCAAATCGATTTACCTTGTAAGTCGTCATTCTGTGTCACAGAGCAAAAATACATCTCCGGTAAGAAACCGGCATTGTAAATCATCCGACACACTTGCTTTACCATTTGTAGACCGTTTGTGCAGCTCGCTGCTCCATTATCAAGACCACATCACATTGATCCAGCGAACTCATGGGGATGCTCCGAGACCCACCGCGTGCTCTGCCCCTGTCCCCGCCACATCGGTGTAAGCAGAGCCATCGGAGCCGTCGTGCACCACAGCCCAGCGAGGGCACATACATCTCGGCTCCTCTGTGCCGAGATAATGGGCAAGGGAACGTGCTCACACAAGAGGCCCAACGCAAGGAAAAGCAGCGTCAAGACTTCTTTGCCAGTGCAGAAAGACCAGCTCTGAACAGCTTCACACGTGCTCAGAGAAGCACAAAAGTAGCCAGAAAAACTGTTCCAAAATGTATTCTTAGGGTGCACCATGCACAGATGGGTACAGTGTAAGATCCTGCTCCAATTTCCAATCCCTTCTAATTTGGTCAGGATCAAAAACTTACTGTATAAAGACGCAAGAGGCCACTCAGACACAAAACCAGTTACTGTATGCACGCCAATGTTCATTCTTGACACTTGCACGCTCCTTTCACTGATAAGACTTACTCGTAATGAAATCCAATGTCATGATTCCCAACGATAACCACTAGCTCAGTAGAAACTGGATACTTAAACATTTTCTGAAATCTCCTGACATCATCTGCCCACGCCTGCATGAAAAAAAATAAATGGGAGAAATTCACGCTGTTCGACAGTATCAAAAGAGACCACTAGTACATAATACAGAAGCACACACTCAGCGAGATGTTTACATTTTGTAAGTTTTATATGAGGGGGAAAAAGTGCCAAGATACTACCAAAAATGAAGAAGAATCACAACATTTCAACTCTTAACTAAAACACCAGAAATTCCACCAGTAGGACAATTATGTTAACATTAAACAAGGCCCTGCGTACCTAGTCTGCCGCCTTCTGCCATCCATTTCCTTCAAGAAATCCTCATTTTTTTGAAATAAGACAGCTGTTGATGTCATACCTGAGGTGAGCTCCATTTTCCTTCATCAAAGACATCTCCCAGAATAAAAACCATATCTGGCTGCAGTAACCATAAGGCAGTTTGGAAAGATCTCTCCATCTGCCATTCCCTGAAAGGAAAATACATACCCCATCATCACTGCCTAACTTCTGGATCCTCCACTCCAAATAACAGCCTGGCAGGAACAGGAAGATGGCTCCTACACACTGAAAGCGCTAATGTGAAATTCAAATTACATACTTAGAAATCATGTTTAAGTAGTACAATAGGTGCATCTTATCTGGTGGGTAATTCCACCACAACGCAGTCGGGACCAACTCATGCAAGAAGTAATACCAGCTTACTTATTTTTCATTACAATCCCATTAAACAGCAATTAATTAGAACAGTGAATTATTGCACATGTTTTACTATGCTATTGTTTCTGCAACGGAAGCTTGTAATGTTCATATGGCAGAATTAGTACTTTCAGCATTCTGCTTTTCCTTCCTTTAGACTCACAGAAGCATGGTTTTGTAGGCATAGGATATCTTTGTTTTTAAATGTGATTTTGCCTCAGATTCTTCTACTACAGGGACTACACTTCACCAGCTCCCTTATCTCTGCAACTAAAGGATTGAACTATCGGGACGTCCAAGTTACCTGGCTCATTTGTAAAGCATTCTATAGAAGAGTTACGTATGGGAAAAAGATGTCTGACCCATGGAAAATGCTCGGGCATCTTCACCCACATCCGACCTGAACATTCAAGGCTGCCCTGCCCAATCATTAACCTGTCAACACTGGTTTACTGTCCAGTGCAGATCCAGATAGGCAAGTCAGAGGCAGCACGCACGTTTCTTCTAAGTACCACAACAAAGGTTTTAAACAGCTGTCCCATTAGCTACTATTAAAAACTCTAAAACCAGGAATGAGATTATTCCAAAAAAATTAATTATTACCTTCTTAGCTTATCAAGCCAATGTCCTTTGATTTCACCAAGTAGGTGAGTATCGGCTAAAATTATGGCCTTGAGGACTGAAGTTGAAGTCTCTTTTTTACCTAGGTGAGCTCCACCTTTCACTTCCGGCCATCGACATTGAAAAATTACCACATAATAAATTAAAAATTCACAAAATATTAACACTGAGCTGACAAAGCAC